TAGCCATCCGCCATGGCGGGTGGGTGAAAGACCCAAGCTAACATGGGGTTAGATCGTTAAATTACAATAAAGCCTCGTGCAGTTTGCAGCAAGCTCTCGAATCTGTCTGGTGATTGGGGTGACCGAACGTGGCCTGGGACCCCAGATACTTGAGTTTTCGGGGATCTAACAGGAATTCCCATAGTGATGAGGGTTGTCCTTCTGTATTTATGTTTCTCTTATTGGTTGATGAATAATACACTGTTTGGCCTATAGCCAATGAGGCAGGAAGATAGGTGAAACTAGGAGATGAGAATTCTGGGAAACGTAGCCCAGGAAGAGAGGACGCACCAGACCCTTCTCTGGTAAGATAGACCACGTGGAAGACAGAGCTAGCCAATAAGAAGCCCAAACCATTAGCCAACAGTTTTATAACTAATATAGCGTCCGTGTGTTTATTTGGGGCTCAAGGGCCTCGGGATAGCCCTGACAGAGAACCTCTCATTATGCCATGGAAAGTTGGGGTGTGTGATACAGTACCCCATGCAATTAGTTAAGGCCACTCTCTGGAATCTAGGAACGGGATTCTAGGTCCTACACCTCCTCCTGATGATAGGCAGGGTCCTGAAGATGGCCTTCTGTCCCAACCAAGATATGGTGGCCTTGAGTTCCTGAGCTGAGGACCAAAGAGAAACAGCCTGAGGTCTGGCTTGCTCTTCCTTCTAACTTCCTTGGGCCACACAGACTCTGGAAAATGAGGGTAGTCGGGCTGGGGGTGGGGGTGAGGCATGGGGCTCTGTGGGACTTAGGCCTTTGAATAAATCCCCACCAGCATGGGAGGTGTTGGATCCTTCCAGTTCAACATCCTGCTACTGTTGGGAGATCTGAGTTCCAGAGAGGGGAAGAGAACTTTGGATGTCACACAGTGAACCATCCCAGGTCTCTTGATGCTTAGGCCAACATGGCCGGGTTAGAAGCGCTGTTTAAAAATCTTCCTACGTGTCCTTATGCCTCCCGGTTCTTTCACATTGCGCGTCTTGACCTCATTCATCTTCCCGTCCCTTGGTATCCGCCTTCTGCCCTTGCAACACCCCCCCCAAAAAAATAAAATAAAATAAAAATTAAGAGAAGAAAAAAGAGAGAGAGAAATCTCACCATGGAAGCTGTAGTGTGACACGGTGAGCCACACAGTACACCCTTTTGCCCATTTACCTTTACCTGCAAGTGCTCATTGCAGAGTCATTGGTCTGGTTAGAGGCCACTGGCTTCTCCACCATCAATACTGGGCCCTCCTTGGGACACCTCTTGGATGTCCTGTTACTGCCCTGTGTCATGGAGATCCTGCAGCTTTGGGTCTATGGGACATGCCCTTTCACGTGCGCCTCCTGCAGTTCATAGATGGGTTTCTTGGGCACCTATGGTGGGGATACTAATTGGGATGAGTTGCAGCACCAGTGCCGGAGGGTGCTTCCTGACTTTGTCGGAACTTGGAGTTTCTTTTCTTTGTTGTATGTCGCTTTATTTATTTGTAGCATGTGTGCAGGGAGTCAGTCAGTTCTCTCCCACCACATGTGTCCCGGGGGTTCCAACTGAAGTCCTCAGACTTAGTGACAAGCGCCTACCTACTAAGCCATCTTGTCTTCCTGGGTGTTGGAGCTTCTTAAAGCCAGGTTCCCCAGTAACAGGCTGTACTGTGTTGGAGGCAGGGCACAGAGCTGGCCCAGCTGTGTCCTCGGCTCTACCCTGGAATCTTTCTGCTCAATAAGTCTGGAAGCCTAGTCCTGGTGACCTCAGATGCCATGCAGCCAAGCTGGCTGTGGAGAGGACCAAGCCAGCAGGGTTCACCAGGAAGCTCAAAGTTGGAATTTTGAATGCCGACCAGCCCTGGAGCCCCCACTGCGAGGGCTTCCCTGGGGCTCTCTGTGTTCAGTGGCACGGCCCCAGATGCCTCATTTCCCACCTGTTCTACCCAGGGGGAGAGGCCAAAGGGCAGGAGGGCCAGAACACATTAGCTTACTTTGGCCGCCAGGCCAAGGGCTAGGGTTCTTGGTTCCTGGGCCTGTCCCCTCCCATCCCTCCTTCCCTAATTCCTTCATGCACACAGGCTGAGCCTGCAGGATTGTGGGGCAGACACTGCCTGCCCCATACACAGGAGACCCCTCAGATCTGGGGAGCCTCACCAAGGAGGCAGGATGACATGAGGTGAACTGTAGAGGTGGCTATTTGTCTCTAGACAAAAGACTCAATCACTCTGGGCCTTCTCAGATTCGGAGCTTCCAGAACCCAGGATTTACTTCACCCTCCTCCTGCCACCTCCATGGTGAGCCTCAGAAACCCTTCTCTGCTGACCTGTGCAAGAACTAACATGGAACTCTAGGAGCTGTGGGGAAGCCCTTCAGTCCCATCCTGCTATGAGGACACAGCAAGTGTGCAGATGTGCTAGGCACTCAGTTTCTCCCAGGTCTAGCCGTCACTCATTGCTGTCTGTTTAATTTCAGCCCATCCAGAGGGTAAAGTGGCCCTCCTTGGGGCTTTATTTTGCATTCTATTCTATACTCCCCAGTCATTTCTTGGGCAGCTATATAAAGGTTTTGTTTTTTGTTTTTACCTCTTTTGAAAGTGGGATGCCATCTCATTTTCTTTTTTAATATATAAATGATTTGTTTTAGACTTTGTGACATACAACCCGAGAGAAAACATTTTAAAGGAAGAGAGTTTTACTTTGATTTGTGGTCTTTGGGGTTTCGGTACTTGGCTGGTGAGCTTCGTTGCTTTGGGGCCAGTGTAAGATAGGTGTAAGATAGAAACACTGTAGTGTGTGCTCACTAGTCTCCCAGGCATTTCTCACACCTGTCATGTTGACAGTCAAAATCAACCATCACAGGTGTCTTTACGAAAAGAGCAAATGCATGCTCGCGCACTCGTGCGCATGTGTGGGTGTTCATGTAAGTGCACATGAGTGTAATGCCCACAGAGGCCAGAAGAGGGCATTAAAATTTCTGCCACTGGAATTGGAGGCAGTTGTGAGCTGTCTGGTGGGTTCTGAGAAATGAACTCTGGTTCTCTCTAAGAGCAGCAAGTGCTTTTAATCACTGAGCCTCAACAGTTGTCCTTTTATTGTTGAGTTGTGAGATCTATTTTTAATTTTTTAAATTAAATTTGTGTGTGTGTGTGTGTGTGTGTGTGTGTGTGTGTGTGTGTGTGTGCATTACAGAACACATGTGGAAGTCAGAGGACAACTCATGGGAGTCAGCTCTGTCCTTCCACCAAGTGGGTCCTGGCGATTGAACCTAGGTTGCCAGGCTTGACTGTGGGCATATTTACCAGCTGAGCTATTTTGCTGGCTTTTTTATATTTCAGATGTCTCTTACTAGCTATGGGATTTGCAGGTATTTTCTCCCTTCTGTGGGCTGTCTTTTCCTGTTCTCCATGTCTCCCTGTGGAGCACAGAGTTTTTAATTTGACAAAGTCCAGCCCTATGTGATCCATAATGTTTGGTGTCTTATCTTGTGTGTCATTAACCCTTGCATGTTACAAATCACTAGGGCTGACAAGGGAGTCCTGGACAGGGCTGAGAAGTTCTATGGGCTCAAGGTGTGTGTGTGTGTGTGGGGGGGTGACCCTGGGGCACATTCCAGCCACAGGTTAGGACCTCCCCTCGTATGAGCCCCTGACGCCAGCCATGCAGTCTAATAGAGCTTCTGTTGCAGATAGTCAAATCAGAGAGACGAGAAAGGGACCATTCACACAGCAGGCCTGGGTTCCAATTCTGGGGCACTGCAGTGGTGCAGGGGTCCAGGAGAGACATGGCATCAGGTGTACCCCATTTTCTCACCTGGCAAAAGGCACCCAGAGGAACGGCTAGGGCATCAGGAGCTGATTCATGCTCTCCCCCTGTCCACAGCCATGAAAGCCGACCGGAAGCGCTTAAAGGGCGAGAAGACCGACTTGGTGAGCCAGATGCAGCAGCTATACGCCACACTGGAGAGCCGAGAGGAGCAGCTTCGAGACTTCATCCGCAACTATGAACAGCACCGCAAGGTCAGAGCCTCTCCGGTCCCCTGTCCCAGCCCTCCCCGTTCAGACATACACAACCCTCCTCTCTTGACCTAGCATGGTCCCTGTCTTGAGTCCCAGAGCACCCTTGGAGGCTCTTCTGTGTGCCCAGTCTGGACCCTCCCTAGGTGGACAGGCCTGGACAGGGTGGACTTGGGAATCCAGCTGCTTCCGTTCCTCTGCTCCTTGAACCTTCCCTTCTGTGGTAGAGGCAGAGCAGTTGTGAGGTCTGAGGTACCGAGCACTGAGCACCCAACCTGATGAGCCATACATTGTCGGAAACACTGTAGCCAAAGTGTGAGGAGTTAGCCAAGAGCAGTGGGAGACATACTGCCTGCAGAGAGGCAGCTCAGAAGGCTGCCGGAGGAGGTGGCACTGTATTACTGAGTTGGGCTCTATATATGACACTTTCTTCATTGTGACAAAATGCCAGACAAAAGCCGTTTCATGGGGGAGGGCTTGTTTTGGATCAGGGTTAGAAGGTAGCATCCATCCTGGTAGGAGAGACGAGACAGGAGGTGGCTGGCCACATCGCATCTGGAGTCCTAGCCGGTAGGTTGGTGCTGCCCTCCTTCAGGGTGGGAATTCCCATCTCAGTTAGCCCCATCTAGGAACCCCCTCACAGGCCCACCTAGAGAGCCATCTCGTAGGTGAGGCTAGATCCTGTCAAGCTGACAATCAAGATTCACCACCCTGGGCTCCAAGGGCTGAGGAGGAGTTTGTGAATTGCATAACTGAGGGGTTTGGGTCAGTAAAGACTTGTATAGAGTGTGCAGTATAGATGCTTCCAAGGTGTAAGTCAGGCCTCATGAGATGTTTTCACCTACTATTGTGCAGGTCAGAAAAAATGGGCCAGCAAGATGGCTCAGCAGGTAAAGGCACTCGCTGCCAAGCCTGATGGCCTGAGCTCAGTTTCTGGAACCCGCCTGGTGTGCCGGGAGAACTGGCTTCGGACTCCCACATGGCCATGTGGGCAGGGCTGCTATTGAGTTGTATACGTGGACCCGAAAGTAGAAACATTTGATCATATGTGTGTTCCCTGTGTGTCACTGTGTCCCTGATGCCTGGCAGGAACAACTTGAGGAAAGGATTTATTTGGGCTTTTGGTTTCAGACCATCTGGAGGGGGAGCTGGAGGGGAGTTAATGGCAGTGGGAGCACGCAGCGGAGGTGCTCACATCATGGCTGACCTGGAAACGCAGAGTACAAAGGCTGGAGGAAAACACAACGGAAGCAGAGTGCTATAGCTGGAGCAGAGGCAGCAATACAACCCTCAGGGGCTCACCTGGAGGGTCCCACTTCCTGAAGGCGTCACACTCCCCAAAGAGAGCCACCAGCAGGGGAACAGACATGCAAAACTAGAGCCTGTGACAGGTGTTCCCGATTCAGACCTAACAGTTCAGCCTGCAGCTTTGGGGACAGGAGGGCTGAGTGGCTCTATAATAGCAGTGGTGGCAGACCACACCATGGGCCCAGGCAAGGAGGCCACTTCTGAGCTGCAGTTAGAGGCCAGATGGCAGAGGCTGCGTTGGAATTGACATGATTGTCACAAGCCTGCTGTAGCCATCATCCGTGACTCTCACTGTCACTTCCCTGGCATGCAAATCTCTTCCCCTCTGTGGCCAAGTGGCTCTAAGCAGCAGGCACAGGTGCCACCTGCCTGTTCTGTGTCCAGCTGATGCCCCCTGTGTGCATTCAGGTTAAGGAAGCCAGGGGAGTGGCATCTGAATGACCTTGTGTCGTTGGCAGCCCAGACCCGCTGTGCAGACAGCAAGACTAAGATGCTTAAGGGTCTAGTGGCTGATCGAGATAGATTATTTATTTTTGTGGTGTTTGGGATGAACTCAGAACCTCCTTTATGTGAGCTAGGCAGGTGCTCAACCACAGAACTGGCACCTCAGCCCCTCCCGGGGGATTCTAGGCAGGTGCTCTCCCACAGAGCTTACTTCAGCTCCTCACTGGGGCATTCTGGGCAGGCGCTCTACTACAGAATTGGGACCTTAGCCCCTCATTGGAGGATTCTAGGCAGGTGTGCTACCACAGAACTGAGACCTCAGCACCTTCCTGGGGAGTTCTAGGCAGGCTCTCTACCATTTACTTAGAGATACTATGTAGACGCTGAATCCCTGTTGTTTTTTTTCTGGCAAACATAACTTACCTTTTATATAGGAACCAAATGAACACTATTAATAGAACTCTCTGGCTCCCCGGTCATTGGGCTGCAGGCTCTCAACTTCCCATGCCCCCCTGGCTCCAAGACCCCCACAGACACCAGCTGAAGCAGATAGGCACAGCTCAAAGCTGCTGACAAAGATAGGACTTGACCTGGCCAGAAAATTCTCAGAATTACAACATCCAGAAAACTGTGCCAGTGATGCATGCCCTGTCCCCTGAATGCAGCTGGGAACTGTCCACAGACCCAGCTGGAGGTATCTTCATAGCAGTCCTGGCAGCCGGATCAGAGCTAGACACAGGGTGATCCTCCACCACCTCCCCACCCCCTTTGTCCCATGTAGCCTCTCACCCCGGGCCCCTGACCCAGCCTGTAAGGCCTTAATTGCCTTAGCATTGCCCTTGTAAGTTTCAGCCACATATAGCCCCTAGGCCCTACCAAGTTTCAGCTCCCCAGGGAAGGAGTTCCATGGGTCTCTTTCCTGTCTCTGTAATCAGCAGTGAGCTGAGAGCATTTCTCCTCTGAGCCTCAGTTTACCCCTCTGTGAAACAGGAATAAATAATTGGAGTCTCTACCTGAACCTGTGAGGTTCAAATCCAGGCATGCGTCAGGAGCCTGCAGCACCGGCCGGGGCATCCTATGACTGTTGCTGCAGAGCCTGCTGGCCTCTACCTGGGAACAATGTTGTAGGGACATGGGTCCAGTTCTTCAAAACACCTGACGACTCTTTTCCCCGAGCCCAGGACCCTCATCTGCTCACAACCAGCAGAGTAAGCAAAAACTCAGAAATGAAAAGGATCCCAAGGACCTAGAGGGTCTTTCTTCCAACTCAAGGTCACCAGCCAGCTCCCAGGGGTGGCACTTACCGAGCTCCTAGGGGTGGTCAGCTCTGCTCTGGATCATACAAACACAGCTTTGCCTGGCTGTGTCTGCTCAGGTATTTGTTGGTGGACTGAGTGTCAGGTGTGAGTAAGTACCAGCTGGAGAGGTCACTAGGTAGTCACCTAAGCGGGTGGTCAGGGAAGGCTTCTTGGAAGAGGAGGCATGAACAAGGATCCTAGGGAATGAGAAGCTTCTGGGCTGAGCTCCAGGTCACAGGGACATCCCACAATGCATCCAGGGCAGATGGGGAAACCAAGGCCATGCTGACCTGTAGGTATTTGCAGAGGCAGGATTCTCTCTAGAACTTTAGCCAGTGCTGCGTGCTGTGGAAGCCACATCCGTGAAGAAAAGCTGGCCCCCCTCCAGCCATCTCGGCTAACTTTCAAGGACAGTGTTACTGTGTTAGACAGGATGGTGGCCATTCCCTGCTGCTCCTGGCCGTGGGGGTGAGGGGCAAACCCTCAGATCAGCTTTAGATGTGGTTTGGTGGGATGGGTTGGGCTCCTCTAAGGACCACCCTCTTGACAAGACCACAGTTGTAGTTGCCCCTTGATCAGTGGTCAGGTTCAGCCGCAACTTTTTCTGGGGCCTGCCCCACATCTGTCTGGCACTACCCCCTGGCAGCCACAGTTCATGCAGGAAGCTGAGAGGGACCTAAGCTGAGTGTCCTGCAGGGTTGCCAGCACTAGCTAATGTAATCACAGACTCTGTCGGGGTGTTTGCCCTCTTCCGCCTCTGTTCCACATAGGGATCCTTGCATTCCTCCTGTGAAGTGAAAAGGCAGGCTACTGAGTGTCCCATCAGCTGTGGCCTCGTGGGGTGGCAGCAGGAACCCTGTGGCAGCCCAGATAGTCGCTGCTTCAGGTGCCTTCTTGTACCTGTTTTGCTCTGACGTAGCTCATCAAGCAAGAACAATGGCCCAACGAGCTGGGAATGTGGAGTTGGTAGAGTGATTGCTTAGTGTTACATGAGGCCCTGGGTGTCCCTAGCACCACAGAAACTGGGTCAGCACTTGGGAATTGAGGCAGGAGAATCAGAAGTTCAAGATTGTCCTCGACCACATAGAGAGATGCAGGCAAGCCTGGCTGCATAGAGACCCTGACTCAAAAACAAAACAAACGCCTCAAACAAAACAGCAACAAGAGAAAGCTCTTTCACCCGACTTCTGTTAGATTACACTTTGTTTTCCCCACATGAAGTTGTTCCATCTTTGAACAAAACCATGTTTCACTCTGCCCCCATTTTCCCTATAGAGACATCCCTTACCCGGCCGGGTTCACTTACCAGGAAAACACCCTGAGGTTTCAGGGTGCTCACCCCATAGACTTCCCACTTCCTACCAGGACTTCCAGCCATGTGCCGGGGGTTCCCCACTCCCCTGCCCACCCCGGTGAGCCCTCCACCCTTGTGCCACCCTGCAACCCACCCCTCTCTCTCGTCCCCACCACAGGAGAGTGAAGACGCTGTCAAAGCGCTGGCCAAGGAGAAGGACCTGCTGGAACGCGAGAAGTGGGAGCTTCGACGTCAGGCCAAGGAAGCCACAGACCATGCCGCGGCTCTGCGCTCCCAGCTGGACCTCAAGGACAACCGCATGAAGGAACTGGAGGCCGAGCTAGCCATGGTGAGCTCACTGGCCACTGGAGTAGCCCAGGCTATTACTAAAGCTTTGAGATTGGCAACTGAGGAACAACCTGGGCCACTCAAAGCCCCTGGGGAAGAAGGCAGACATGAGGGTTAAGGGAAAGCCGTGGGCTACATGACACTAGTGAGCTGGGGACTTCCTTGTCAAGCCCAGGAGCATAGGGACCCTAGGAGGCCTTAAAGGCCTCCGGTGACCATACTCCCCAAGCAGCAGCTAGAAAGTGGGGAGATGGGAAGACGTAGTTTGGTTCAAAATAATCATAATCGTTTGGACATATATCTGGGAAGAAATACACAAAAAATATTAACATCTAGGATTACAAATGGCAATAGCTATTTATCTATACATATATACATACATATATGCATGTATTTATGTATGTATGTATGTAACATATATGTATAACAACTATTTATCTTATGCAGGATATTTAAAGGCTTTTGGTCCAGATGTATTTGTAGCAAAATTGTCTTTCTTAGGTCATTAAGTGAAAAAAACAGATGAATTTGTTGTTGTTGTTGTTGTTGTTGTTGTTGCTTTTTAATAACCTAAAACACAGAAATCCTTTGAAGCAAGAAGGCGTGTTTCAAAAAGACATGTGGTGCATGTGTGCAGATCAGAGCATGTCCAGGGGTCTGACAGTATGTTGACTCTTATTTGTTATAATACATTTGCGTGTGTGTGTGTGTGTGTGTGTGTGTGTGTGTGTGAGAGAGAGAGAGAGAGAGAGAGAGCGAGAGAGAGAGAGAGAGAGAGAGAGAGAGCGAGAGAGAGAGAGAGAGAGAGAGAGAGAGACAGAGACAGAGACACAGAGACAGAGAGAGATCAGAGGGCAACTTGTTGGAGTTGGTTCTCTCTTTCTACCATGGGGGTTCTGGAATTGAACTCAGGCCGTCAAGCTTGACAGCAAGCCCTTTTACCCAGTGAACCCTCCCCATCCCCTTGTGTGACTCTGGAGTAGTGGGATATATTGTCCAGCCAGTGCCAGCAGTTACAGACCTCTGCAGGGATGTTTGACCCTTTTGACCTCTATTCCACATAGAGATCCTTGCATATGCCCTGTAGGGCTTTGGGAAGGATGTAAATGAAACACAAGGAAACAGCTACCATGGCATCTGTATGTAGTGATGGCAGGGCTGCAAAACGAGAGTGAAGCCACCCTGAGCAGGACAGCTGCCTTGTGCAATGCTGACCCCTAGTGGTGAGAGCCATCCAGGCAGGAAGAATGCCTCCACTTGCTGTTCCTGCAGGCCTGAGGGGGACGGATGGGAAAGACCGATGTGCCCAGATCACCCTGCTCCCAGTAGATGTAGAGATGAAGCACATCTTGGTGCTTTGAGCCCTGGCCTCAGTATCTTATGGGTTCCCTGGTGCTCCCTGTACTAGGGACTAGCCCCTTTGGCTTCTACTCCCAACATACTGACACACAGCCTGCTTTGCTTTGGCCAGAAACGCTCAGCTCCTGCCTCCTCCCTTCAGACCCTCTGCTTCTGCAAGCTTGGAGCACCATCCCAGGAAATACTTCCTAGAGGCAGAGAGGGAAGTGTTTTACACAGATGTCCTTGTGACTGCACGTCCCCTTCATCCCCTGACAGACTTCAGGCTGTGCTGTGGACAGCCCCAGACCTTTCTGCTCTGAGGTCAAGGCCAACACGAGGAGCTCTTTCAGAGAGCTCGAGTCACAGAGATCGTAGGCAGAAGAGGGCAACTCGACCTGGAAGGAAGTCAAGGGATGTTCAGGGCCATGCAACAAGTTCCAAAGCAGCAGAGGCAAGTGAGCTCTAGCTGGACTTTGGTCATGTGAGCATAGTCATCCCAGCTTAGAAATTCCCAACGGCTCAGTGCTCCAGGTTCAGGATGCTCGACAGGGTAGAGGCCCAAAGAGGAGAAGTAGGGGGAGGCCAGAGCTCAAGAGGAGCTCCCAGCATTGAGTTGTATGTAGTGGAAGTGATTAGTCAGACATGCTGTGTCCATTGCTGCCAAGATGGTCCAGGCAGTCTGAGTGAACACATGCCCACTGCCTCTAAAGCTCACCTCTACCCAGGAGATTCATTCATTCATTCCTTTCTTTTCTTCCTTCCTTCCTGTCTTCCTTCCTTTCTTTCTCTTTTCCTTTTTTTCTGGAAATTTTCCTCAGAGATTTCAAGTTCTTCATGGGCAGCATGAGAGGCACTTGTGTTTGGCTCCTAAGGGATCTAGACATGGAAGCCCTAAGGGATCTCTCACTAGTCAAGTAGTGATGCTGTGATGCATTACTCCACATAGGGGGCCCACCCCTAACCCAGCCAGAGGTGAGGTCCTTCATTACCCCGGGGAAGAGAGAGCAAGTGGGAATAGGATAGCCTTGGGCCAGGGCCTCTTCCTGTTTCGCCCCGAAGAGCTGCTGGTTCTGTGGGCTGGTTTGGGTGTCTCTGCATTGTTTGTGTCTGGGAGAAAGGGGAAAGCATGGTGGGCCTTTCCCTGTCTTCTTCCGCTCCTCATTTAGCTTCCTCTGTCCTGCAGGAGCCTGGAGAGCTTCCCAAACGATTAACAAGATAGTATGTGTGATTCCATGTCTAATGCATGCTCCTTTTCTCCCCCAGCAAACTTAAGATCCTGCCCGATAACATCCCGACTACCCAGGTGGAGTGGGGAGATCACTCCTAGCTAAGAGGTCTCTGAGGCAGGACAGAGAGAAGACCTGTGGCCTTCACAGAGGCAGTCTAGCTACCCCCAACCCCACATGTAGTGCCATATCTGTGACAGTTCCCCTAATATGAGCCTTGTCTCTTGGAGCCCAAATTATACCAGGCTTGCCATTGACCAGCTCAGTTCTTCTGTACTAATACTTATTGCTGTACATGCTGCATGGTGGCCACCCTTTCTGTTGCCAGCTGGGGCTGGATAACTGGGGTGAGGCCATCCCGTGCATCGTGGGGTGTTTAGGTGCTTTCCTGGCAGTCTCAGGGCTGGCTTCTCTGCCCAGGACCTTCACTCCTCCCAAACTCAATCTCAGAGGTACATTTTACAAGGTTTACCTAAGAACACCCCCCCTACACCATGTTCTTAGGCCCGTCAGAATCCCGGCTGTGGTCGGGGGTGGCTCTGTTGATAAAATGCTTGCTCCTCTAGCATGAGGACTTAGTTCAGTTCTTTAGAATATGTGTTAAAAGGTGAAGATGGGATCCCTGGAACTTGCTAGCCAAACACCAGTAATATAATCAGCCAGTTCCACTGAGAGATAGACCGTGTTTCAAAAACCAAGGTGGGTGGCTCCTTCGAAATAGCACCTAGCACTGATCTGCAACCATCACACTCATGTGCATGCGTTCACAGGGGCACATACATGCACCCGCAAAGAATCCTTGCTTGTCCTTGGAGAGCCCAGAAGTGATGAGTGTGTGCTTGCTCCCTTCTCCCGAATACGGGGGTCTCGATTTGCTCTTAATGACAACCGCACGTGAGACCCCGGTGAGCATGGGTGACACCTGTGTTACAGACACATGGCTCATACCACACTGCTGGTAGCTCACCTGTGTGGAAGTAGAATTCTTGACTTTCTCGCCACGGTGGTAAGAGGTGCCTGGCAACCGCGTGAGAGGTCCCCTCTGGTTACATTTCTTCTTCCTGTCTCCCACTCTGTCTCCAGGCCAAGCAGTCCTTAGCTACACTGACCAAGGACGTTCCCAAGCGGCATTCACTCGCCATGCCTGGTGAGACGGTGCTCAATGGCAATCAGGAATGGGTGGTTCAGGCTGACCTCCCATTGACTGCTGCCATCCGTCAGAGCCAGCAGACGCTGTACCACTCCCACCCTCCCCACCCTGCAGACCGGCAAGGTGAGTCCTACCCAGCCTGGTCCAGCAATAAGGGAGGCCCCTGGGCCCAGTGGGAAAGGCGGCTTTTTTTTTGTTCACACTCTATCAGCCTGGGGCATCACAGGACAGACTATGACTTATAAACTGGACCCATAAGAGACGGGCTTCAGGCATAGCTGGGTCCAGAGGCTCAGCTGTGCCTAAGGAGAAGTAAAACGAATTACCCTGCTTGGCCAGCTTGGGTTGCATGGCCACCCCTGAACGAATCTCCCTGAACAGTGTCTGGGAGAGCCAGTGCTGTGATTAGTCAGCCTGAGTCACCCAGGCATCCTTCAGCTGGGGAGGGTACTGAGCTCCTTGAATGACAGTTGTAGCTAGTCCATAGGTTCCATAGAAAACGTATGTCACATGTGTTTGCTACGGGCACTTAGCAGAACACCTGGCATCCATTCCCACTGTCTGTGGTACACACTCTAGTCCAGACTCCTTGCCATCCCATTGTGTATCAGTGAGCCACCTGGCTCTATTAAGGGTTCCTCTGGGGGCTGTCATAAAACTGGCCCTCCAGGTGCCCACAGCTGGTTACATAAGGCCACAGACAATTACACAGGTCCTGGGCTGCCTGTAGCTGGAGCATGTAGGGTAAGGCAGTTGAACCGTAGAGGGAGGGGCACAGGCACAGGTTCACACTGCTGAGACCATACCCCCGGCTCTGCTACTTACAAAGGGTATGACCTCTGACCCCACACAAGAGTCACCCGTTCCTGTGGTAGGAGGGATGCTGGATTCTTAGTGCTTAGTATGTGATACGTGTCTGTTTGCTGAGCCCTCCCTCCCAGGATTGCCAGAAAGGTAAAGTGTACAGAATTCCCACGTCAGAGCCTTGGTAAATATTAGCTGCCCCTTCCTGTCAGCACTGACAGGGGATACACAGGGCTTCAGACCCCCTTCTGTTCACAGACTCCGCCTGCCTCCACTGAATGGAGACAGCAGCTGCTCTTTGCTGACCCAAGCCAGGATCCCAACACACACACACACACACACACACACACACACACACACACTCACTCACTCACTCACTCACACACCAGGGAGGAGGAGGGGAGAAGGCAAGGATACAGCAGGCCTTGAAGCCAGGTCACAGCTGAAGACTTTATCAAGCATAAGTCCAGCTCTGCCCCAGGGATGCTGAGCCCCGGGGGTAGCTACCTAGTTAGTCCTAAGACCAGGTGTGCAGGCCACCCAGGTGGTCTACCTTGGTGGAAGGAGACAGAAGTACTTAGAAGGTGGGTGGGTGGAGTCTGCAACAGCTTAGGAATTAATGGAGTGGTAGGTGCTTTGATCACTTCAGGACATTGCCTTGATGGGGCTGATGCTGAGTTGTGGTTAACCAGACCGTGGGATCTGCCCTCTGCGCCCTTCTTCCTTAGCTGTCCTTGCCTCTCCTGTAGCCACCTGGGAGCTTTTTGTTAAACAGGTCTTCTCAGAGCTTCCAGGCCCTCTCCCTGACTGTCCCCACCCCAGCTCATCCGCGCTTCTGTAACTTGGTATTTACCTGCGTGGGGTGACCCACCTCCACCCCTGGCCATCGTTGGGGAGGCATTTGGCACCGTGACTCCTTTCCCCTCCCTCGTGCAGTGCCACAATAGGCGTGTGCCACCCCCCCGCCCCTACT